TGGTTCAACACATGTCACCGTCAGCTGCCTCTAAAATCCGAACAATCCATTTACCACATTTTATGTGTGTGTGTGTGTGGGTACGATGGAAACCTGGGGAGTTGTTACAAACACACTTTTCACCTCCCAGACTGGTTTAAATACTACAGACTCAATAGCCAGAGAAATTAAGGTTAGGACATAAACACACAAAACAACGGCTATGTTGACTTATTAAAAATTCATTTTTGACTGTGTTCACAGACCAGATTCACTCATTCACGCTGAAGTATAAAAGAATACAAACATATGAATGGCCCAACAGTCCTTTTTAATCCAATCAAGCATCATCAAAAACTGGGCTGTGGGGGCTGTAAATATGTGTGTGTTTTCATGTATGTCTGTGTTTTTGTCATCCCGGAATGACCACTGCCGCTCAGATTTTCCCACATCACCAGATCACTTCAGTGAAAGACACAATAAATGCAAATTCACAAAACTAGCTACACTTCAATGATAGGATTGTTAAGACATATTAACATAGTAACCTCTGGACTGAAAGAAAGTGTTGCAGTTTAATTGCAGGCTCTGAGTAGTTTCTAAATAAGGCAAATGCTACATGCACTTAATCCCGTGCACAATTTAATTGAGCACACAGACATTTAGACGTGCACACACATGGTTGCAGTAACACAGCACGATACTATTTGTTGTTTGCTCGATCATCAGTTTCAAAAACATCACAGTCTGAAAGATGTAAAAACGACACATGCATAGAAAATTATTCCACTGGCATCTATCAGCTCCTCCTCCTCTTCTCTGATTGCAGTGCATCAGTCTGGATAAGTTTGTGGCCTTCACAGACGAGTCCCAGATGATCCACCAAGCCTTGTACCTGCTGGAGGAGAATAAATTCTGGGCGGGCGTGGTCTTCATGGATATGTACCCCTGGTCCACAAGTGTTCCGCCACACGTCAAGTATAAGATCCGCATGGACATCGATGCAGTGGAGCGCACCAACAAAATCAAAGACAGGTCAGTAAGAGAACTTCCGAAGCTTTTTAGATCTTGAAGTTATCTGTTGTATACAAACTAGTGATTTTTCAGCATTTGCACCTATAGTTTTTTTAATATTAATATTTGAGACAGCAAAATGTTAAAGCAGTTGTGTATTTCAACCCCCGTCCCCAAACTTTTCAACTTCTGATCACCAAAATAAAAGTGCCAGAGACTTGCAACCCAAATTAAACCCAAAGGGTCCTGACCTCTGGTTTGGAAATCACCAGAAACGTCTATCCATCAAACAATCGTGAAAACCTGCTGATCTGATACTTTTCATGTTGTTAACGGCATATTCATTAATTAATGGATTTGTTAATGGAAAGTTGTTCCACCTGCTCTTATTGTTTTTCAAAAACCTCCTTATAGTTTTACATTAAGTCGATATCTGATCCTTCATCCCCCCATGTGAAGCTGTTACGTGCATTTTCTTTTCCTTTTCATCTCCAGTGTGTCAACAGCCCCCGAGAGAGAACAAACACTTTTTATAAGCACTGTTTATAGCGCATCCAACTGTGTGTAATGGATCCACTGGGAGTCCTGCTGCGACACAACTGAATAATCAGATTGTAGGAGGGCTTTGCCTCCGACTTATCTGCTTAAGTAAAAGCTGTGTACGTGTTTGTTTGTGTGTGTACGTGTGTGTGTGTGTGTGTGTGTGTGTGTGTGTGTGTGTGTGTGTGTGTGTGTGCAGCTTTACAGACTTTGGCTTCAGGATGTTTTATTATTTAAATGTTTTGAATAGAAAAAAAACACTCAAACCATTCAGTTGTATCACAGGTCATGTGATCAATGATGTAGTGTAACATCATCATCAGGAGAATAAAACCTCACAGACATGAATCAATCATTCCCTGTGACTCCCACCCCTCAGGTACTGGGACCCCGGCCCCCGAGCTGACCCCATGGAGGACCAGAGGTACATCTGGGGAGGCTTTGCATACCTGCAGGACATGATCGAACACGGCATCATCAAGCTTCACACAGACAACGACTGGCCGCTCGGGGTCTACGTCCAGCAGATGCCTTATCCTTGTTACGTGGATGATCAGTGAGTAAACCGCTCACTGCGCATGACTTTACCCACAAGTCAATGTAACATACACAACGCATAATCATAAAGTTCAACTATATACGGTCTGTGCGGACGTCTGAGGGTTTCATAAATCTCAAAAAGACTTCAGGCAGGTAAACAAATATAAAAATTAAAATAAATTAAAAAAGGTGAAAAAAAGAAATAATAACCTCCTGAGAAAGAGAGAGAAGGAAAACCAGAAATGAAAGTACTGTATTATATTTATATGTATAAATTAAAAGGTAATACCAGAAAAACAATCATACAATAAACATAGACTCGAAATAACGTCATTGGCAGCATTCGTATCCGGGATATTTTGGCTTAATTCGTGTCGTCCATCGTTACATACTGTTTTCCATGTGGTCGGATCTATGGGGTCACTCACAGTGTTATTTTTGACACTGACACCAGAGGATGCTTAGATCTTTTCTCACCGGGGTTTTCTCTGTCTCCAGCTTCATGATCACACTGAACCGCTGCTTCCCGATGTTCATGGTGCTCGCCTGGATCTACTCTGTGTCCATGACGGTGAAGAGCATCGTGCTGGAGAAGGAGCTGCGCCTCAAGGAGACCCTCAAGGCCATGGGGGTCGACAACGGTGCCATCTGGTACACGTGGTTCATCGACAGCTTCGTCATGATGACCGCGAGCACGGCGCTGCTCACCTCCATCATCATGGTGAGATAACAGGAGGAGGACAGAGGGACAGGGGGTTTAATAGCCGGTGTGGAGGTGTAATGTCTTGCGGTGTATAATAGCATCCTCTTGTGGAACATTTACAAAAAACAATCCTCAAACTTCCAGTGGTGTGTGGGTAAATATCATCTCATCACTATTCGTCTCTTTTGTCCTCTCAGGGTGGGAAGGTGCTGAATTACAGCGACCCTGTCCTCATCTTCTTCTTCCTGCTGACGTTCACCGTCACCACCATCATGCAGTGCTTCTTGATGAGCGTGTTCTTCAACAAGGCCAACCTGGCGGCGGCGTGCAGCGGCATCATCTACTTCACCCTCTACCTGCCTCACGTCCTCTGCTTCGCCTGGCAGGACCGCATCACCAAAAACATGAAGTTGGCAGCTGTATGTCCAAGAGTGTTTTTACCTCAACACTTTTTTAGAAAAAGACAAAAACACAGATGTTGATTGAGCACAGTTAAGATAAACTGAATTTAGTCCAGTTTCTACTGTATATGTAGATATTCTTCATCACTAAATACGTAAATCCTGTTTGTATCCTTCTTGGCACATCAGAGCTTGTTGTCTCCGGTGGCGTTCGGCTTCGGGACAGAGTACCTGTCTCGGTACGAGGAGCAGGGTCTGGGTCTGCAGTGGGACAACATCCAGACCAGCCCGTTAGAGAAGGACACCTACTCCTTCCTCACCTCCGTCCTCATGATGGCACTGGATGCTGTCCTCTACGGTGTCCTTGCCTGGTATCTGGACAATGTCTTCCCAGGTTTGGCTGCGAATACACTGTGTGATTCACCAGATTTCTAACATGTCACAGGTTGTAGTAGTTCTCATCAACTCTCCCCTCCACAGGACAGTACGGCATTGGTCAGAAATTCTACTTCCCATTTCAGCCCTCGTACTGGCAAAGATCTGCATCTTCTCATTCAGAGATGGATGATCCAGGTCAGTATCACTGCACATGGTACTGAGTCCCACATAACCTGCATGAGTTTGGACTGTTGGATGGATTTTTTGGAATCATGAGCCCGTCTCGACAAAATGATAAAACAGTTAAGACGTGAACCCAACACAAGATCTTTTCACACGTCTCCTCCAGATCCTGAGAAACCTGAACCAGACGACCTGGAGAAGAATGTGGAGGGCAGAGATACGCCAGAGATTTACACCTGCAATGGCTCCAGCAGGAGAACGTGCAAGCACCAAGGCAAGAGGAGGCAGCTGGAGAGAGAGAAGGAGCTGCTGAGACGACAGCAGGAAACTCCCAACGAGGACGAGGAGGGTCAGGACTCAGGGAGGGAAGGTGAGGACACAGACACACAACCTGAGATTAACTGAAGTGCATGTGGGAAACGCTCTGAGGACATCTGGTGGACAGGCAGAGTAACACATCACACCTGGAAGAAAGAAAGAGAAAAGATGAGATGTGAGAAAGAAGAAGAAGAAGAAATGGAATAGACAGCAATGGCTGATATGGACATTGAAAATGTAATATTTTGTGCATTATATGTGTTAGGAAATAAAATATAAACCCAATAGGACTTGTCAGGTTCCTGGTTTGTGAATGTCAGGAATGATTAGATTAAATATCATTAATTTGAGGGACTAAGACACTTCTCATTTAACATTTTGCATTTTAATTTGATATGAAGACCCCCTCTACTTTGTTCATCCATTATATTTTTAATTTATAATTTATCTGTTTTCCAATGCAGGCCAGTTGTTCTTTGAGCCCGAACCTGTGGGCCTGATGTTGGGGGTGCAGATCCAGGAGCTGGTGAAGGTGTTCCACGGAAGCTCTCGACCAGCGGTCAACTGTCTCAACATCAACTTCTACGAAGGACAGATCACGTCCTTCTTAGGTCACAACGGGGCCGGAAAAACCACAACTATGTATGTATCAGATTTCATATCATATAATATAAAATAATATAAGATAAGATAATATAAGATAATATATCGATGTTTTACTGTTTTCCAGGTCCATCCTGACTGGACTGTTCCCTCCTACATCTGGCACAGCCTTCATTAATGGAAGAGACATTAGGACGGACATAGACATCATCCGTTCTTCTATGGGCATGTGTCCTCAACACAACATCCTCTTCAAACAGTGAGTTATGCTGAAGATGCTTTTAAAGTTCAGTTCAGTGTGATTAAATGATTTACCTGCACAAAATAACTTCAAACTTGTTGAACAAAAGAGAAAAATGAACAGAAAATACAAGAATTATTCCATTCAGCCTTGATACAGTGTGGAACCCACAGATCTTACACTTCCTCTGTAAACACAGTTTTATTACTGCTGCTGTTTTTATTCCAGTCTCACAGTGGAAGAGCACATCCTGTTCTACTCGCTGCTGAAGGGTCGGACTCAGGCGGAGGCAGAGAAGGAGGTCGAGGACATGCTGGTGGATCTCGGGCTGCCTCACAAGAGACACGATGAGGCTCAGAACCTCTCAGGTCAACCATTTGTTTTTCCTGTGTGTACATATGTGTGTGTGTGTTAGAGAGAGGATGAGAAGGTTTCATGTATTATTTTATCCATATTCATATATTTTCATACATTCGTTATCTTGCAGGAGGAATGCAGAGGAAACTGTCTGTTGCCATGGCATTCGTCGGAGGGTCAAAGGTCGTCATCCTGGATGAACCCACCTCTGGAGTAGACCCATATTCCAGGAGATCTATTTGGGATCTCCTGTTAAAATACAGAACTGGTAACTGAGAGAAGTCACAAATCCACATTTTCTTCTATATGTGTGTAAATGCTCATTTCATAGCGGCAGGTACACATCTCACCCCGGCCTCCACTTCTTCTTCTTCCTCTTAAACTTAAGAGGACCAACAAATCCAAATCTGTTGCAGCTTCTCCTGAGGCCCTTGAATTAAGTAGTGAAATGATCAAACAGAAAAATTCAGCTACACAGTTACAACAAAAGCAAAAAGATGGAGTCATAAAATCAACGTGTTTTAGAATTTGTTGACAAAAGCACTTGAAAACTATGGTTAACTATTTTTTTTACAGCTAGACTGGACTGGAATTTCCCTTTGATTCAGCAGAAGCTCTCTTTTATTCAGTTATCTCATGTTTGAAATGTTTATTGCAGCAGAGCATATTCAGAGTTTGGCCTCGAGGCTCAGACCTCATATATAGTATTTTAGATCACTTTCACCTACATCTTACACACTGCACCTTTACATAGACGGCCACATTAGGAGGATTGTATTTATTTATTTGTGAGGGACAAAAGTTTTAAACACTACATGTAAAGTCACGCTTAAACTCTCGTGCAGGCCGGACAGTGATTCTGTCGACCCATCACATGGACGAGGCCGACTTGCTGAGCGACCGCATCGCCATCCTCTCCAAGGGACAGCTGCACTGCTGCGGATCCCCGCTCTTCCTCAAGAACTGTTTCGGAGTTGGTTTCTATCTGACGCTCGTAAGACGCATGAAGGACCTGAGGAAGAGGGAGGTGAGTTTCAACTCTGACACCAAGTCAACCAGCTGCAGTCTTGTATCTCTGCCTTTTATATTGTTTCCCATTGTTTCTGTCAGAACGACTGTGACTGCGCCTCAGACTGTTCCTGCTCCTGCTCCATATGCACCGCATACAAAGACCAGTCTCAGAACCAGTCCCAGCACCTGGACCGAGTTCTGGATGGTGAGTGTGACTCCTGCATCTCTCACCAGCTCCTCAGCGACGACGCAGAAACAAAACATTACTTTTCCACATTTATAATTTAGAGGTGATATTGACCCAACAGCCTTTTTCCTCCTAATTCTGCCTGAGGACTCTGTGCTTGAGAGGCAGTGCCATGAAGTTGTCCCAGCACGAATTACTAATGCATCTTACAGCTTGAATAATTATGTTTGTTTTCAGTTTTTTTTTTTTGTCATAGTAAGCAGTTTCCCGCTCCTTCCTTCGTCGTCTTGGTTTCTGCTATTTTTGGGAACACGTTATTCTTTAAAAACTTTTTCTTCCTCAGGGGACATAGAAAACATCACCAGCCTCATCCACCACCATGTCCCAGATGCCAAACTGATTGAGATGATTGGACAGGAGCTCACCTACCTGCTCCCTAATAAAGGATTCAAGCACCGTGCGTACGCCAGCCTGTTCAGGGAGCTGGAGGAGACTCTGAATGATATGGGCCTCAGCAGTTTTGGCATCTCGGACACATCATTAGAGGAGGTAGGGACTTTTTCTAACTTTAAAGTGCTGTGGATGTACTTTTAATCAAGTTCTGTACTTCAGTAAATTTAAAATGAAATATTCTCAATACTGTTGAAAAGTTTTTACTCCACAAAAAACTTCTCAACAAAAAATCTGACTCATTATATTGATATTATATATTAATTTGTTCCCTTTGTAAATGTTACTCTTCATCTGAAAACATTCCTGGTTTTAACAGAATCCTCGAGTTTGGAAAAGTACAAACCTGTATCCAAGAACATCTGAGATTAAAACAGGAACTTTTTGTTTAATGAGTGGATCTTAAAATATATATTTCTTCCCCCAGATATTCATAAAGGTCACTGCAGATGGAGAAGCAGCGAATAATTCCACCACTCCTGGTAAATACCACCACTGATTTATTCTACATGGCCTTTTCCTTGTTGTGTCCCCCAACAGACCTGTAAGCTCTCACTTCAGCTGCTGTACTTGTGGTGCGGAGCATCATTCGTCTAGTTTGTGTTCATGTGTTGTGTCTCACTTTTGTGTCGCACTCCCACCTCTAGAGCAGTGGATGTTAAAGCGGAGAAAAAACGATTCTGGTGTAGAGGGAGACGAAGGTCAGAGACCCGAGAGCCACTTATCGACTCATCTGCTGGACCTGGTCGCTCACAAGAAAATTCTGTTGATTATAAATTATTTACTTTTTTTAACGTGGAGTTATCGCATAAGAACAAATTTGATATTTGTATGAGGCTTCCATGACTACATAACAATAATAGGGACGACCCTACGACCCTAGACTCTAAGAAAAGGAGGAAGAGGAAGATTCGTTTTTCTATTTTGCGTTTTGTGAATAAACTCAATAATTTATTAATAATAAACTTTTCAATATTACATCAAAACTTTGAAGGTAATATTAAACTCCTGACATTAACAAATATAACTGCCCTTATACAAAAGGCCTTGTGTAGATGAATTGGTTCAATTCTTTTCTTCAGTCTCTCAACATTTAGAATTTATCCTCGAAATGCAAAAACACGATCTTCCTCTTTTCATTGTTTTCTTGAATCCTGAATCCGTAAACAACAGATACAATATTTTTATGAATAAAAATATTTTCTCTAAATTTTTGCAGCGATGACAAAGTGAAGTTTGATTCATTTGGTGGTCATGAGTGATCCAGGTCTGGGAAGATGAACATGTGCAGCACGCAGGAAGCTTTCAGAAAATAAGTTCTGCTGCTTCATTGCTCGTTTCTTTCTGCTTCAAATTAAGATATTTACTCATTTATACTTTAGACCTTCACAGAAAAAAACCCAGAAACCTCAGATGACTTTTAGCTGCTGATCCCAAACCTGCTTCTGCAACTTTATAACTCTGCCTAAGCAAATGTTTTCCTGACACATTTTTAAGAGCAATACTTACTGTGTCTATTCTTTTCACTCCAGAACACAATGGCGTGAACGGCACTACCCATGGTGCATCAGACAGCAGTGCAGGAAAGGGCTCCCGGCAGGTGAAAGGTGCCGCTCTGACCTCGAAGCAGTTCCACGCGCTGCTCGTGAAGAGGTTTCATCACGCCAGCAGAAGCCAGAAAGACTTCCTGGCACAGGTTTGTGCCGTTGAAATCCATTTTTTACTTTATGTTATTTTTAATAGACTTCCAGATTCTGGTGACGGATTTATTCCTGTGTGATTTCAGATCGTCCTTCCTGCCAGCTTCGTCCTGATCGCTCTGATCTTCACCACGATCGTCCCTCCGTTTGGAGAGTACCCCAGTCTGACTCTAACTCCCTGGATGTACGGAGAACAGTTCACTTTCTTCAGGTCAGACCTCTGTGACAAAAAACACTGTAAACTTGACTTTTGTACTTTTACTGGAAATATCTGAACATATCTGAAAATACGTTCATGCACTGGAAACCATCTTCACCTGTGATGTCACATCTGTGTGTGTTCTCTCTTTAGCAACGAGCAGCCGTTCGACCCCAAAATGAAACACTTCACGGAGCGTCTGTCAGCTCCACCCGGCCTGGGGACACGCTGCATGGAAGGAGAACCACTAGGGTGAGTATCAGGACTGTTAACAGATAGTACAGTACATTACTCAGAATACTTGGTGCAGGATTCCTGGACCATTTAAAGATAATGATGAAAAGAAATCCCCTTCTCGATGACTGAGAATCATCCTGTTGACATATTTCAAACATATCATAGACTGAAAATAAAGATGGATGACTTGACAGTACCCGCCTGGTAGCCAGCTGCAGTATAAATCCTACCTCCTCCATGTTAGCAGATGGGATATGGACCAAACTAAATATAAAAATTCAAGATGGCAGCTTGATAACCAGAAATGCGGCTTCCTTTCTTGATAGTGGGAGGAAGCTGTGAAGTGTCGTCCATCTTTATCTGCAGAGATTCAACACAGTTTACTGAATATAAAAAATTATAAATCACACATTGCAGAACTGCCTCTAAAAGCTCAGTGATTTTACCATTTCTCTTTACTCCTCTCCACCCAGAATGCCCTGCGGTAACATCACATCAGCGTGGGCGTTTCCCGACGTCCCCCCTGTTGTCAGCAATATCTTAGAGAGTCCTGAGTGGAACCAGAGAAACCCGTCTCCGACCTGCTTGTGCAGCTCCAGTAAGAAGCTGACCATGATGCCCATCTGTCCCGCCGGAGCCGGAGGCCTTCCCCCTCGCCAGCGAACCGAGGCCACGGGAGACACTGTTCTGGATCTGACAAACAGGAACATCTCCGACTTCCTGGTTAAAACCTACCCCAGTCTAATAAGAACCAGGCAGGTTTTTATCAAATGTTAGGACATATCACACAAACGTGTCAAAACGAGAATAAAGGTGTAAAAATAATGAAATATGACGTGTTTGCTGTGTAAATCTTTGTGTTTATTAATCAGCCTGTTTCAATACATTTCTGTTTAATCAAACTCTGATTTCCATTTCACAGTTTGAAGAGCAAATACTGGGTGAATGAGCAAAGGTAATGAACTTTACGTTGTTGCTCAGGGTTTCTGCAGAGTCTTAAAATACGTTTAAATATTAGGCACCAGGTTGAATAGGTTTAGTTTGGTCTTAATTATGGTAATGTTCATTTAACGCTAATTAAGACAGCCTTGAAATTAGTTTTTTTAAGATAAATGTTTTAGTGATCTTCATAGTTTCCTTCTCAAAGATATGTATACAAACAAGACCAACATGGAACTGAGAACTGATCGTCTACAAACATATCAGTCGAGTTGACTCAGAATGTCTGTGGGAAAGACTAGATATCCACTGTCTCTACTCAATTACTTCACCTTATCTTGAATTACTGGGACGCACCTGTGAGACTTTGTTACTCCTTCGTATCTGTCGTACTTGACAAAGGTCTTAAATTTAATTAACTACGTTCTTAAAAAGTCTGAAATTTCTCCCGGAAACCCTGATTGCTGTTCGCCTCTTTCCTCTTGTGCACCATTCATTACAACTTTTAAAGTGCGGTTCATGTGGAGTAATGAGTGTAAATCTGTTCCCAGGTACGGGGGTCTGTCAGTAGGAGGACAACTTCCCATCCTGAACGTGAACCCCAAAGACATCCAGACTGTTTTCCATCAGCTCGGACAGATCCTCAACATCACAGGGGTATTTACTGGCTCGACTTCTTTACTTCACACACAAGATTAATGTTATTACAAGCTTTTTCTGATGAATTTTTTTATTTCATAGGGTTACTATTCAGAACTTGCCCTGCGGGAGATTGGTCCTTTCTTACGATACATGGAAAGTGAATTTAATGTGAAGGTAAGAGTTGTTCTGCTCTAACCACTGAGTGGTGGATGTATCTGCACTTTCCTTTTAAATTACAAACTTTTCAACTTTGTCATATCACAGGAACACTGACTGAAGCTCAAAGTGCTTGTTTTAATGGCTCGGCCTCCCACTTAAAATAATGGAGGGTTTTATGTAATGTCATGTAACTGTCAGCCGGCAGGTCCACGTATTGTAGATCAGCTCTGTAATCATCGCGTCAGAGGCGTGTGAGATGTGCTCAATTAACTCTGCTCTCGGCTGTCAGGTCTGGTATAATAACAAAGGCTGGCACGCCATGGTGGCTTTCATGAATGTGGCCAACAACGCCATCCTGAGGGCCTTCTTACCCCCAGGGGCCAACCCTGTGAAGTTTGGAATCACGGCCATCAACCATCCGCTAAACCTCACGAAAGAGCAGCTCTCTGAAGTCACTGTGTGAGTGTTTGTATTTATTAATTTGATTCTTTTTGTACATTAAACAACAGAATATATCAAAATCACGTATAACTTTAAATTTGAGATCCTTTAATCACCACAGTAAATCTAGACAAGCAGATTTTTTGAAGGATACCATGGACTTTTTAAACATGCTGACTTCACCGACTTCCTCCTTCAGGTTGACCACCTCAGTGGACGCAGTGGTGGCGATCTGTGTTATTTTCGCCATGTCCTTCATCCCCGCCAGCTTCATCCTCTACCTCATCCAGGAGCGGGTCACCAAGGCCAAGCACCTGCAGTTTGTCAGCGGCGTGAGTCCGTTAGTTTACTGGGTGGCCAACTTCTTCTGGGACATGGTGAGTCGGGGACGGTTGGAATCAATGTCCAATACTAATTTCAAAGGTTCAACTCTTGAAGGAGATTGATATCACCTTTCTTTTGATTTTTGCGGATTAATTTTAAATGACTTGTGTTTCTCGTTTCTAGATTAATTACTCTCTCAGCACTGCAATGGTGATCGGCATTTTCATGGCTTTTGACAAAAAGTGTTACACGTCACCGACCAACCTGCCTGCACTGATCGCACTGCTCCTCCTCTATGGGTAAGACTTTGACCGGTTTCATTTAGTCCGAGTTGTTTCCCACAAAATCACAAATGATAAGAGAAAGAGGAACTGGATCATTTCACCTACATGGGAATCCAGACACAAAACACAATACATGAATGACTTCAAGGAGGTGAAATAAACTAAATACTAAATAATCTGATTACTGTCATTTATTCCTCTTACAGATGGTCGGTGACGCCCATGATGTATCCTCTGTCCTACATATTCGACATCCCGAGCACCGCGTACGTCTCCCTGTCCTGCATCAACCTGTTCATAGGCATCAACAGCAGCGCCATCACCTTCATCCTGGAGCTTTTTGAAAACAATCGGGTAAGAAGACGCAAAAACAAACTCAGTTAATACAAGATAAGACTCCCATTATTTAACTTGGTGATCATTGAACTCAATGAGATTCAGTTTCACAGGTTTCATTTTACTCAACGTCTCCGAATCTGCAAGATTTCCAAAACTTTACATCAGCTACTGATCGCATATAAAATCTGTCCTTAAAATAAGAAACACCAATAAACTGCAGTTTTACTTGCATCTCACATCACTGAAAAGGTTCAAGTTAAACAAAAACACAAGTTATTTTAATACTACTACAACTACTACTAGTAATAATACTACTAATAATAGGTTAATAGTGTTTGCAGTGGTATGAGCTGTGTTTTAGAACAAGCTACTTTTGAAAATGCAAAAAAAAGGTTAATTCAGCTCAAGATATTTCTCCCACAACCAAACTGACCAAATTTAGTTTGATATTTATGCCAAATCAATTCTGCTCTTCAGAAGAAATGTGACTTTAATGTGTGTGTGTGTGCGTTTCCAGTCTTTGCTGATGGTTAACGAGTGGCTGAAGAAAGTCCTGCTGGTGTTCCCTCACTTCTGCCTGGGGCGAGGCCTGATCGACATGGCCATGAACCAGGCTGTTACTGATGTCTATGCCAGGTTTGGTGAGTCCTCTGCACTAACCACACTTTCACAAAACCAGCAGCTCCAGCTTGTCAGATTTTCCTAGTGACGAACATCTGCAGTAAGAATGAGACGTCACTGTCCTCGCTGTCTGGAAGAATTCTGTTTGTGCAACCGGTGAAGCTTATGAAACTAAATCATGTGGGGTTTTTATTTACTCACTGAACAAAAGGTTTATTTCCAGTAAGACCTCGTCTCTGTTTCCAGGTGAAGAGCACACAGTCAACCCGTTCCGCTGGGACTTTGTGGGGAAAAACCTCACCTTCATGGCAGTGGAAGGTTTCATCTACTTTATTCTCAACCTTCTGATCCAGTACCGGTTCTTCTCGGACCGCTGGTAAGGGACATACTCTAACTCAGATCCCTTCTCCTTAACTTTTCTATAACGTAACCACGATAAAAGAATTCAAACAGGATGAGAACTCGTGATAAGTGCAGCTCTGTTGTACTTGACGTTTGATTTTCTCGTGCCCCTCAGGTTATCAGACTACAAACAGACTGCTGTACGAGATGAAGACGACGATGTGGCAACAGAGAGGCTGAGGATTTATGAAGGAGGGAGCAAGACAGACATCCTGCAGATCAGAGACCTCTCTAAGGTAAACGTCCCTGACATAACTTCATATAATCCAGATTCTAGAATCATACTTTACACTGTAAATACATTTAAAAGTAGACAGACAGTTTCAATTCAATCAAGCAGCAACAAATTACTCACACTATACATATCAGTCTTTTAAATATGACAGATTCTTTCCATCAAGATCTATGAATTATTCCCCAGGAAATGCACAAAGTGATAAAAGATTCCTGGATCTGTCCAATTGTCCAAATCCATGCCAAATGTAATTTATTCTGTCTTGGCCTGTCCTTCCACTAAGTTTTGTAGAAATCTGTTCAGTAGTTTTTGCATAATCCTGCTGTCAAAGAAACCAGAAAAATCAACCAGTGGACAGGAGGTTATAAGCTCCGGTTCCTTTTTCCGTTCCTCTGAAATCCAATTTAATTTCTTCTTAAAGTTTTAGTTCAGCTATATTTTCATTAATCCTTTTCATCCTCATTGAAATACAGTTCAGTGAAATGTCAGCGTGCCAAGCAGCAAAGAATAGTTCGAATATTCATATGCACGTCCACAAAACCTGCACAAAAAACACAGAGTAAATAACAGAATTTCAACCACACAACAATTACAGCTCGCTTGAATTTAAAACGATTTTATTTGCATAGTTTCAATCAATTTCAGGTGTTGTGTCTTAAAAGAAATGGAAAACAATGCACAAGAACTGGATAAAGAAATATAGACAAACAGTGAAGAAATAATAATCCAGCAGGTTCTAAAAAAGCTGGAGATCACATAATAATATTATGTATGTTGTGTGATCTTTAAGATTATGAACTGCAGCATTAACAGTAAATAAAAGACAAAGATGAAGAGAATACAAATAGAACATGTAAATATGTAAAATATATGAACGTGTACTTGTTTTAAAACCTGTAACTTTGTGAAGTGTGCACAGATATAATGGGTTATTGTTTCCGTGCTCTCTCTGCACAGACGTATGTGGGCAGGAAGAGGGCAGCTGTGGACCGGATTTGTGTGGGAGTCCCTGCAGGAGAGGTAAAGTCACTGAGTTCACTGAGAGAAACGAATCCCCCCTTTTTTTCCCATCTCAATATTCCGATGTATTCTCACATATTTGCACAAGTAAACCTACACACCGACTGATCTCTGAGCCCGACAGATACAGATGCAGATGTTGACATTTACCGGCAGCCGATGGAAGCATCTTTGCCTCTGCTCTTATTTACTTATTTCATAGTGAGTTTGTGTCTCAGCTGAACGCGTTCTCCAGAGCATGATTGCTTTTTGTCCCGTTAGTGCTTCGGCCTCTTGGGAGTTAATGGAGCTGGAAAGACGACGACCTTCAAAATGTTGACTGGTGACACTGATGTCAGCTCCGGGGAGGCGACGGTGGCCGGTTACAGGTACATAAAGATCAGTCCGTGTTTTCCCTGGACAAAACAACACAGAGCACTTACAGGGCTGGACTGAGTGGTATCAAAAAAAAAAGAAAAATGTTTTTGGTTTACCGTGCTCACAGTTCCAGCTGGATGAATATGTAAATACTGGAAACAGTCCAATGAGTTACAAAGAAAAACCTGGAAGGTCGTTTGGACGGAAAGGTGAAGGATCATTACCAGCTTTGTATCAGTGTACAGTATTAATAGAACACAAAGAGGGACAATATTTAATTTCCTATGGTACTCACTGCACTCAGTTCTCCAATCCAGCGCTGTAAGAAGACAATGTTCCGACTCTTCTACAAGAAAATGATTTAATAGTGTGATTTGCTTTAATAGTTTTTGTTTTGGTGCCAGTATTTTGTTATAACTATACCAATAAACAGTCTTACCCTTTAGAATTATTGTTAGAATATGTGTATCCAAATGTACACACATAAAATTGAAATGTATACATCATAAAAATCCATTATGTGTGTAAAAGAAGGAAAAACATTTCATTTTTACTGTTTAAGAGAATGTGTTTTCTCAGTGATTACACATTAATCCAGAGGTGAGTGGAGCATCACGGTGCATCGACTCTGGTTCAGCTTTGCCACCAATTATTTGCCGTCACTCATGAATGCAGTCAGGTTGCTATGACCACGCACATGAATTCTTCTCACCCTTCTGAATCATGCAATTGATTTGTATCTCACCTCCCATGAATCACCGCGGCGTGGCCGACACATGGTTTGCCCCTGTCACAAAGTTCCCTCAGTGCACTCACCTTCCTCAGGAGGAGTCATCCAGTTCAGCTCCCTGACACGAACGGTACCTTGTGTCTTGTTTTGCAGCATCCTGACAGAGATTCTGGACGTGCACCAGAACATGGGCTACTGTCCTCAGTTTGACGCCATCGATGAGCTCCTCACCGGCAGGGAGCATCTGTACCTGTACGCTCGTCTCAGAGGGGTTCCAGAGTCAGAGATCCCGAGAGTGAGTGAGACTCCTGCAGCTTCACACATCAGAGGGGACATATGACATTAACATCATATTCAGGTTCATTGTTTTAATTTGAGTTCTAACTTGGATTGGAAACAGAAAACACATCACTCTTCTATAAAACCCAGTCAGCTCTGATGGTTCAACCACTTTCAGCACTCGCAGGGAATGTCGGTCTCACTTTGGGCTTTTTAACTTTGCGAAACTCTGACATTCACTTTAAAACTTCAACACACAAGAGGAACAAACAAAAAAGCAAAAGGTTCAGTGTGTAAGATTTAGATGAAAGGGATTGCTTTGCAGAAATATAATATAAAATAGTGTTTTCTCTATACTTACATCGGGAGCGGGTCCTCTCTCCTGAGGCCGCCATGTTTTTTCTTGTCGTCCAAAGTGGACAAAATAAACACTTTGAGTTTTTATGAGAACTGAAGCTACCAGAGGTTCTCTGTCATGTTTGGAAGGGGAGGGTGAGGGGAGGGTGAGGGGAGGGGTTATTCAGCTGCAACATGCAACTTCACCACTAGATGTCACTAAATTCTACACTCTAATCCTTTAAACTGCTTAAGGCCATTTGAACCTGTTACCATAGTTACACTATTATTAGCCCGAGCAGTAGAGCTGATCTGTATTCTTAATTTTATACGTCTTACTGGTCAGTGTTTGTTTTGTCATTTTTAATTGTGTTGTTTTGTGTCCTCCTCCCTAAAATACACGCAGTACTGTACTGTGGGTATAAGTACCTTCTAAAAAGTATCCTGTCTCCCTCGCAGGTGGCGGAGTGGGGCGTCCAGAAGCTGGGTCTGACGGAGTACGCGGGTGTCTGTGCGGGGACGTACAGCGGAGGCAACAAGCGTAAACTCTCCACTGCTATAGCGATGATCGGCTGCCCGGCGCTGGTGCTGCTGGTGAGTTGAGCTGGTGAAACCATTATCTGGGCTTGGGGAGATTTATCGATACAATTGTCCATGGATCCAGATGGGAGGCCATATGGGTTGAGTCGAGCCTGGCCTCCAATGTTTTTATCCATTGGCAGGCAGCGGCTCAGTTTAATTCAAATTGGCATAAATCTAAAATTTCCACCATATGCTGATGGAGATAAGGATTTGGTCCCTGTTCATGTGTAATTATTGCAGTGTCAGGTTTTTCTGTTGTTTGTGGCCGTGTGTGTTTAGGACGAGCCCACGACGGGGATGGACCCACACTCTCGTCGCTTCCTGTGGAACGCCATCATGAGCGTCATTCAGGATGGCCGGGCCGTGGTGCTGACATCCCACAGGTTCAGTATCTATCCGCAAACATCTGCCCGCAGCAGCTGACCAAACACAGTTAACTGTCCTGCCAAGAATTGTTGATGAAGTCATGAATTAACTTCACCACAGAGATCAGTGAAGATATTTACTTGTTTGCGGCCGACAGACGTGAAATAGCTGCACTAAAAGCAGGATGTTGTTGTTTTCACCAGCATGGAGGAGTGTGAGGCGCTCTGCACACGACTGGCCATCATGGTCAATGGGACCTTCAAGTGTTTGGGAACCATTCAGCATCTCAAGTACAAGTAAGAGGCTTTGGGTGTTTCCACAGAATTATGATATGAGGCTTTCACTGACACATTGGTATCAGCATTTATTTTTTATTAAGTTTTAAGGAAAATTATGAAAATTTGAAGAAAAATCTGAGGAATTATTGACATTTTTAATTTTTGTATACATTTTAAAATAAAACTTTAGCCAATATTTTACTGAATATCAGTATTGACCCCCCCAAAAAACTCAGTTCTCTAGTTCACTTATAAAAGCATCAGCCAAATGATATGTAATGTAGTTCTTCTTTTAATATCTGGGTTCTGGAAGAGTTTAAAAACACATAATCACTTTCATTTTATATAAATATATTTGTCAACTTTATTTTTATAGCTTCTTTCAAAACAAGGTGCTTTAAGTTAAAAATTTAAGGCAAACAATTTGAAACAGTTAAAAAGCAATCTGAAGAATCTCACAGCAGTGTGTAATGTGCAGTGATGAAGTATCTGCCTTAAACTATGGCTCCTCCCCCGTAGTAAAAGCTGTAGGTTTCAATATTAAGTAAGAGAAAATGTACAATCTGTCCTGAAATAAATTAAACTTTAATTAGTCTTTTTCTTTGTCCTCCAGATTTGGTGACGGCTACATAGTGACCATGAAAATCAAGGCAGCTAAAGCTGGCGTGTCCCCAGAGCTGGAGCCTGTGGAGAGCTTCATCGAGAGCTGCTTCCCCGGCTGCGTTCAGCGGGAGAAGCACTACAACACGCTGCAGTACGAGATCGCCTCCTCCTCCCTCGCCAGGATATTCCAGGTGGTGGTGGCCAACAAAGAACGGCTGAGCATCGAAGATTACTCTGTGTCTCAGACGACACTGGACCAGGTACGTCCCCAGCGTCTGTGTGTTTAATGAAGTCTGTCCTCCTGACATTTGTGAAGGAACAATCTTCAATCGCCTCCTACATCTTATTAAAGTACTACTTTCATATAAATCTTTGAAAATATTCTTTCTTCTGCACACGATAACAAAGAATCTCCTAAACCGATATCGACCAGACTTAGTGAAGAGATGGAGCCTGGGACAAACCTAGGATTTGTTTTGCCACAGGCTTTAACAATTTCCTGTGACAAATGAACTATTCAGTTTTTTTCCACCACTTCCTCTTTTCTTTTATGCTTTTACTTTAAAAACCAGACAATTGTGTGCGTGTGATTGTTCGTCCTTGGCGGAGGTCTGCGCTCTACTGAGAGACGTTCTCATTGCTCCTTTGAGATCACTTCACTGACTGTGGTTTTTTCTGTTGCTCAGGTGTTTGTCAACTTTGCCAAGCAGCAGACAGGAGAGGACGAGGACGTTACATTACAGCGACGAATGGCGGGAGGAAGAAAAGACGTGAAGATCGCCCCAGTGAAGAGGAAAACATGAAAGTCAGCTGTGAATGTGCAGAGACACAAACAGAGAGGTGTTTCCCCACAGGGCGGAAAACTAACGGCCACCTGCCTGTCACTGGTGCAGTTTATCAAAAACCAAGCATGTCTGACACGGTCCCTGAAATCATGTGTGTCGTTTGAAACTGATGCAAAAAGAGAATTCCTAAACTGAAATTACTACATACATTGACTGACCTGTATGAATATGTACATATTATACGTGTTATAAATACTTAAGCACCTTAGCAGTACGTCTACAGTTACACACACACACACCTCAATTTTATTTACCACGTTTTAATGAAGTGTCATTTAATGTTCTCCGAGTGCAAAACCTGTTTACTATCTTTTCAGTCATTTACTGTTGTAAATGTTCAGTATTTCTTTGTCTACACTGCCATTTCATGTCGTTCCTGTGTCAGTACAAAAAACATGTTCTTCTTGAAGGATAATATCGGCAGTAGAATAGGTTTTAGACGAAAATAGCTGTAAATAAGAGGAATTCTATTTTGTATCTGGCCAAATAAACTTTAAACATGCTTTCTACTTCCTGCAGTGCTCAGCTGATTTCTGCTGCATCAGACCCAAATAATAGTGTTTCATAAGGTTTATGTGAAGTTCAGTATTTCTCATTAAATATTTCAGACCTGTCTCGCTTCTCCTCTCTAAAAAAAAAAGCAGAGCCACTGGATGCTGCAGTGGCTTATTTGGAGTTGAAAGGCTTTTCACTCTGCTGACCTACAATAAATCCTCTGACCTCCCCTGAAAAAGCTTAGAAAGCATCTCTGGGTCAGCTGCGTGGCTTCGCATTGGGGCCGAGGCAACGCTGTGCCGAGAGGTTCGTCACAACCTGGAATTTATCAACGTCCAATTACTGCTGCGAGTGTCTGTGTGTGAATTTCACTGACTAACCTCAAAGTAAGAAGAGGGATGACGGCACCGTGGAGTTCAGGGCTGCCAGTGAATCCTCTGGTGTGGATCTCATGCTCTTCTCCGGCCCATATGGTCGCCTGGATGAAGCCGATGAGCTTGAATACCGCCGCTGTGGGAGGGTAAATGAGTCGTACTATTTATATCCTGTGGAAGGTTCATTTAGAGCATGCTGAGACTGAAAACCTGTTGTCTCTGCAGAATGGAACACACTCATTACCAGCAACAGCACTGCGGTGGAATGATACCAAGTACTGTACTTGTTCCTGACAATTGTAATTTAGTATTTAAATTTTATGCTACTTTAACCTTTATTTTTTTACTCAGCTACACGTCAGACCAATGCAGCTGCTTTACAAATGAAGATTTCACATTCAAAACATCTGAAGGACTTCATTTAAAAACACTATGGCTTCAGAAACAGTATTTGCCTCTTGAACGTGATGGAATGAAAATGTAAAGTATTTTTATCCTCTTGTAAAGTAGAAGTAAAGACTGTAATATGTGGTACTTGAGTAATGTAAACTAAGATTTTTTTCATAGAGTAAAAAATAATATTTTGCCGACTCATTGTTGCCATGACAGTTTTTAAATGATGAAGACAACAAGTGACATTGACATGTTTGAGATCAGGTCAGTGATGGAGTCACGTCACACATCAGTGCACAGCTCTTTCTTCATTAAACCCTTTTCTGTGGCAACAAGTCGATCTACTGGAACTGGAATCATCGCCATCAACGCTTATTGTTTTAACTTGACACTTCTCTGTCACGTCTTTTGCCTGAAATTAAATTTTAATGAAGTATAATGAAACATAGTCTGTGTTAATAAACTCTAAGATCACGAGCGGAACAAGAGGAAAGTGAAGTGAATGTGACCTTTGAATGATACACGTGCAAATATAAGAATCGTAATTAATTACTGCGGCTCACATAAATGGAACCTGCCTTAACTCACTTAACTTTAATTTAGTAATTGACTTATTTTCAAATCAGTCTCAAACTATACAAAACAAAGTTTTACAAAAAAATGATCATTCACTGTGAAAGACAATCTTTTCCTCAGCATGTTTTTATATCTGAATTTCTGGCTTAATATGAGAGAGGTCTGACTCACCTGTTGCTTTGCACAGCAGGAAATCAGAGAAGCTGCAAACCCCCAGTGGCTCACCAGCTCTGAGGAAGAAGAAGAATGTGAATTGTTTTTCTTTTAATGTTGTGATAAAATCCAAACTTGCAGCCCACATGTTGCTTTTAAAACCCAACAAGCAGATATTCCTGCACAGAGCTCTCTTGCCTTTGCAGAAATGGTCGGCGGCAGACAATCTTCATCATTAGCATCACGGTGCAGAGGGAACGTGCATCTATGAAAACTGAGCCCTGGAGAAGCGCAGGCTCAGGATTGCTCTGTGGCTCATCAGTCTGCACTAATCACGTACATAACGTGCATTGATCCAAAGCTTCCGGCCTCGGATCGATACATATGAACTTAATTATGTGATAAACTGCGTTTACTACAAAATCAATTCTACACTGCAGCGATTCCACTTAAAGAAAACTGTCCTGAACTTTAAAAGTCGGACTCTCTCTGCTTTTATTTCAGTGTTTTTTCACGTAAAACAAATAGAATTTTTCTCTGTATGAAATATAGAATATAAAATATATTGACCCTAATTAAGCCGGTATTGATTTCTGCTTAAGCATCAGACAAATACCTGGTAAAGTATTGGACGTATTTGAAAACAGGATTCATCAACAAGAGGTTTTTCTTTTTTTTTTTTTATGATTTGAAATTATTTATCGGAATAATCTTGTTGAATGTCTCAGAAAAAATAAACAAAGCACATTAGCACTGATTCTGATCGTCGGTCTTGAATTTGTCACAGGAGCAGTTTGATTTTAGTAAATGTTCAATCACTGAACCATATATTCAGTCTTAAAATACGATGAAACTGAAAATCTTTCCTTATTTAAACGCAGATGACAGGAAACTTTATCCTCTGACAAAAACAAAACTTAATTATCATAAAATTAAAACATCATTCTTGTAAAAAAAATTTTTTTTAATATTACAACTTTAATCTTGTAATATTTTGACTTTTTTCTCCTAAATTTACGACTTTGTCTTTAGAATTAAAACATTATTCTTGTCAAATAAAAATTGGATTCGTTGAAATTACGACTTCCAGTGTTATGCTATGACAATGTTACAGATGTGAATGGAAGCTGTAATCAAAAATGTTTTCACACAGGTCAATGATGTAAAATAGTTTTTTTTTCACATGTGGAACAAACTATAAATTTTAGTTTTTGATTGCATAGAAAAACCTGGTTCCATATTTTCTATATTTGAACACACGTGTTACAACCCTTACACATGTGTGCCTGTGTGTGTGTGTGTGTGTCTGTGTGTCTGTGTGTGTGTGTGCATCTGTGCTTCTTGCAGACAGAATATTTCTCAATCTTTTTTGAGTCACATCATTATAATGGTCTTTTTAAGTCCTGTCGTTAAAGCTGGTGAGACAGAGTGGTGGATGTTTGGGTCATAAGTTTAATTGGGGGCATTGGCTGAAGGATGGAGAAGAAAAAAATTAAGTCCTAGATGAAGAGTAAAGTTTCTGGCTAAGTATGAGACACAGGAAAAAAAAAAGAAGAGGAGAGTTATGGGTCCTAGTTGGTGTGTGCGTGAAACTGTGTCCTACTGTCTGTGCAAGAGAGTGAGACAGAAAAGAAATTGAAGAATGATTCACACGCAGGTGAAGATCCTGATTGCACCGGACATGAGGACCATTAGTGTCTATCTCTGACGACACATTCACAACTCAATCACTGTGCATTCAGGCAGCTCTTCACTCACACACATGTCTGCAGCATTATCTTCAAGAGTCCAGCAGCACAATGATCTAACGCACCATGAGACAGCTGACCACACACGAAAAGCACGAAGAGAAGAGACAGAAATGCAGCCTGTAACTTTGGAAGTTCATTTTACAAAGTTCTGCAAAATGTGTATTTTTGTCTTTTTTTTCCCACATTTGTACCAATTGTTATTCTGGAACAACAAAATATCAAAACCTGGATTTGTCAGATTTGAATTTGTCCAACTCTGCAAAGACTGCAACACATTGATGCACAAAAAAATTATCAAAATACAGCGAAACGTCTGAGGGAGTTTTAACGTCTGCGTTGTTTCTTTTTACAAGTTCTGACTTTCAGCAATAAACTGAAAAAAGGTGAAATGTGTCGTCTTTACCTCCCATCATATAACGCTCCAATCAACGAGGACATTTATTTGATGCATTTGACCTTGTATGCAGTACTGCGCCTAAAGTTGGTGATACTTTATGGATACTACTGTGAAAGTATTCAAATGAACTATTCATTTCCCCCATTCAAACAGAAAGCAGACATTCTTCCAATGCACTATTCATTAAAAGTTAGTTATCCAATGACTGAATTGACAACATGCTGATACCAGACACGGGCCCGTCTATAAACCAATCAATGTCAAGTACACGTAGACCACGTAGGTGAAGACAAGACGTACATGTGTCATATACAAAAAGTCTTCATTTTGCTCCCTGAATCACAACGTGAAACCAAAGCTGACCACATCAAATGCAAATGACGGAACAAAGCCATGAACTTTGGTTGAAAACATCAGAGAAATCTCAGGTCCACTTAAAGAATCAGAGAGAAACTCGTCTGTCGATAAAGTCAGTCCTGAAGAAAAGCTCAGCTGTTTCCTAAATTACAACAATCATGGCATTTTCCCTGAGAGCTGGGCTCATCAATCGTTTGTAGGTAATCAATCAGTTACTGTGCTGACTGAATCAGAGTCTGTTTATAGTTTACAGTGGAGGAGGACTATCATTCAGCAGGGTCATCAAACTTTAATGTTGTTTTGGAAATGTTTCTGACCTGATCCTGACCCAGAAGCAACAACAAACACACATCAGGTTTATAAAATACAGAACCCATTAATGTCTAATGTCAACAAAACAAGGAATCTGTGCCGAGGCGTCTCGTCTCCTCAGTTCTGTGCCCCGAGCCTTCAGAAGGTGTCATTTGAAGTCGGAGGGATGTGTGAGCTCATAGAAGGAATAGCTGATCAAGTGCATCTGAGCCGCCACCGCACAAACAGCCTGCATCTTCCTGACTTGTGTGTTTGCGTCTCCGCGGCGGCTGCAGGAGTCGCCCTTGAGACACCTTGAGCAAATACTTCTCTCTCGCCGTCTCACATCTGCACCCACAATTATTCATGCTACATAAAAACGTACTCGTGAAACTCCCGAGAATCTACGAATGAAAATATGCTTCTGGCTCAAACTTTCATTTGTTCACACCTCAACACTCGTAAGAAGGTAGGAATAACTTAATTTAGGTAATTTAGCTTCAAGCTCATTTGTGGACTATTCACTGTCATTTCTTAAATCGGTGTTAAGACATTTCTTTGCCACAACCCGGGACATTTGCATTTAGAGTGCATGCTATAGATAATAAAAAATACAGCCTAAAGATGATGTCACTTGGGATTTAATGGAAGTAGAAGAAGTTCTGCTGGTGGATTAGATTTAAGAGGCAAACACAGGACAGTGAGAGAAAGTTTCAGGAGTTGGTATCAGTACAGACATCTCGCTGTAACTTGAGAT